AAGAAAATAAAACAACAACAACACTAAAATGTAACAAATATAGTGTCTCTCATGATATGACTTGAAGTCTACTGCTGTAAGGGAGGTAACTCGAAGAAAAGTCATTGTAACATTACTCGGTCTATCTAGAATTGTGGGGCCATATCACTCGCTTTCAGTCCAAATAAAACACCACCTCGGACAGACTTGAAATATGGGTGTTGTCGTTTAAAATGAACCCCATCAGAGTCATACAGTCGGGTTAAATCTGCCATGCGGTCATGTCGCCAAAATTTACAAAAAACACTCCCGTCAAGGGCGGAACAAAGCCTGCTGTTTAACTCTTTTACTCTCTGGTTATACACATGAATGTCTACATCACCTCTATGAGAACGAGTTCCCAGACGCGTGAACAGTTCAAACACTACCACATATTGCACAAATGGGGCAGCGAACAACTGTTCTATCAAAGAAGTAAAGTTTTTAAAAACAACGTCGGGGGTAAGTTCTGGACGGCTCAGGTCATTCCCCGCTATTTGGAGACAGATCACGTCGGGTCGATAGAAATGAATGTCGCCCATATATCGTCGTAATGTGTCAATGGTTCCGCCTGAGTAGCCAACAATCTGTATACTGTGCAAATCCTGGCGAAAACCAAGATTGGTGGTGGAAGTTTGTTCGTCACAATATTGTCCCATACGTCGTATGAGGATATGCCCCCAAACCAACACAGTTTTATTCGCCATCGCCAAATCGAAAAACTACAGATATAACGTTACTTACATACAAGGGACAATTAAAGCAAAAAGTCTACTTTCCCTGTCTGTTTTCTTCTTCCACAGCCGTCATTGGGGGAACGGTTCCTGTAGCGTGCGTACCGCCGCCATGTTTTATGTTGATTCTGATGCTGGCTCACAGTTTTGATGCATGGGAAGCTTCACCGATCGAAATTTCCTCGCGGAGATAACAAAAAGTTCGATCAAAATCAACTACCAGTCGTTTGTAAGCAAACTGAAGTATAAACGACAAGCCAACAAGCTGCCAAGTTAAACTGACCAATGAGCTTTGACCTCTGATCTATGAACCCGGATGTGGCAATCGCCTTTTATGGGTTAGGGGGCGTGGCGATGAGCTAGCCCGCTAATGTAAACAAAAACACTGAATTATAACAAAATGGGCAGTACATGCAAAAACACGTTTGTCATTTTACAAACTCTCATATCTGTGTATAATATTGTTCAGTACAAAGCTGCAATAAGTAATATCAATCACATTACTTTGGAAATTAATTCTTTATATGAAATACAAGAAACCTGTCATCTCAATTATAAATTTTACCGGTTAAGTAGTTGTCTTTGAGATGCAAGTTATCTATCTTTTCTCTGCTGTTATACTCAGACACACGTGGAAAACGACTTTCTATCCGGTATCGAATACGTCTACTTTCTTTTTCTATATTTATTAACCAATCAGCGTGAGTGATACATCGCCAGTGATTTTTTTTCAGCCAATCATATGAAGGTGCGTAACGAGGTTCTTAGATCGGAACATACCTCTGATACATATGATAAAGAGAAAGAAGTCATAAGCAGAAAAAGAGATAGATACTAGTAAAATGTCAAGCGAAAATTTGGTCAATTGGTAGCGACCACCAATCACAACTGGCGTCAAGCTGGCCTGCACAACTCAAGTCGCAACAATAACACTTCCGGTTTACCTTATCGGCCACTTTTGCCTGGTATAATGTTACTCACTCAACATAAGTTTTTACCTGGTGTCGTATTTGTAAGTGATTGCATATATTATTTGTTTGATGGGTTCATTTATTTGTTGAATGAATCAAGATTTTGGCGTTTTCATTACGTGTTGTGTAACACGAATTTGCTGTTATTATTCTCTAACTGAACGGATAAGTTTTGTCTAGTCATCAGTTTCCGCGCGTTATGTATTTCCGCGCAGCCATTTTATCAAGCTATATCTCGTAACTACGTGACCTGTTGGACACAACACAAGGATATTTTAGACAGGTGGCCATCGTCTGTAAACTGACACAAAAATTACCGGAAGTTCGTCCGGAAAACATAAGAATTAGTCACCGATTAAAAAACACGCATAAATATACAGTTTTGCTTAATGCACTTTTTATCTTGCTCAAAATGAACCCATACCTGAAAAAACGGTGTGATATTTCATTCATGAACCAGTCTTTTTTTGCAGTCTGACAAACGTACGAAAATGTCGTATGCAAATGAGGTCACATCTCCTCGACGATTCTTTTCCACTTCCGAAGAGCCAAGGAGACATTCTTATATCGATAAACAGTGTTTTCAATGAAACGTAAACCTTGTTATATAATGAACTTCCAATTTTCACCAATTTCAAACAGAACAAAATGAGAAATAACTTACTATCAAGCAAAACCGATTTAAGACTGCAGAACAAAATATTAACAGACTCTATATTATAACTAAATAAATATAATAAATACATTTACAAAATTACATGAATTCGTTTAATTTGACATCTTGAAAAATCAATTAAAAATGTGAGATTTAAAAAAAAATGTTTTGATAATTAATTTGACGATCAAAAAGTTGTTGTTGTTTTTTATTCAAAACGAAGCTTTAGTTCTTTGCAGGTCATTATTTACTTTTAGCGTATTCGAGTTATCTTTCTTTGAACACTTAATCAAAATAGACACACGGAAACCTATGACGACGGGAGAAATATATTAAAAATTGTTTGTTCTGAATTTTTAAAAATACAGTTTTATGTTGTTTTTTGTTTTGTTTCCTTTAGTAGATTGTATATATGTTTATGACAGTCTTCCGTAATTTCAACATTTTTCTGCCGATATGAGTACGAAATCGCGGATGCTTCTTAAGTGCGCGGAAACCGGTAACCCGAGGATATATTACTGATATCTCTATCTTCAGAGTCTGAAAGGGTTAGTGAGACTGCCATTGTTTAAAGTAACAAGATTGTGAAATATTTGCATAAGTTCAACATATATTATTTTTATTGTATCATTGTATCTCATAATATGCTGACATATATGTCATTGGGGAACTGTAAACTAACTCTGGGGCTCATTAGTCCACCAACTGAAAAAGAGGTTTTAAAATGGAAAGGAAAAGAATGCAGTAACTGATCATAAGTGAGGTCGAGAATGATTTCATATGGATCATTACACCTATAAAGTTGATTTCTTTGGAGGAGGACACAACATTTAAAGGCCACTTCTGGTAAAAAAAGTATACATGTTGCCATGAGATTAGTATATTTCTATGCATAATTACACACGAGGACTTATCCTTAAATCAGCCAATCAGCAAGTGTTTCATACTTTTGTAGTTCCTACTTAAAATTAGACCTGGCTAAATTATGTACTCATAAGAATTATGAGCATATAATTGGTTACATGTGTTTTGATTATTGGAATCTACAGGTATTTAGCTTTTGAATAATATGTATTTAAAGGTGCTGGTCGGGGAATAAAGGTCATATTTGCTAAAATGGCATACACATGTTTAAAATACCTTCTTATGAAATATACCGATTCAAATTTTGCTGAAATTCACTCCATCAGAGTAAAAAATATGATTATGTTAAAGAAATCCTAAATCGTCACCTGACAGTCTAAAACTCGCAATTGACCAAGATCAGTAATGTAATTTTACCGAACGCGCATCAACAAGGCAAAATGTAAACATCGCGGCGAAAGAAAAAGATGCATGTAAAAGTCATGACAGGTACGAGGTACCAATACCGTTATATATAACAACAACACATAGGTAGGAATACTACACTTGTATCATACATGACCTTTGAACACAATTATTTACGTATAGTATTGCTGTCTTGTCCGCTAGCTGAGTCCGACATCGCACATGACGGCGTGCTATTGTTGTTATCTTCACTTTCGGAACAACCACGTGATATATATAAATAGATATGCGCTAAATTTATGCGGGGCTTCCCCGAGATTTCAGTGGTCATATCTGGACATTGCAAGCAGAACTCGACCATCATATTGCCGTGGTATAACTTTTGGAAGGTCAGAGAACGCATTTAGACCCATTTATTTTGTATCCCCCCCCCCCCCCCCCCTCGACCAGCCCCTTTAAAGCATATTTTGGATTTTTGTTGGCGGATTGATATTGGTGTAAATAGGATGGGATTTTCCCATCTACGTCATCAGAACTTTGTAAACCACGTTGATTCCTGGAGTATGAGAATATGCCAACTGTAATTATAGGTATCTGCCTCTTGTATAGTCTTTGTCAGAATCTAGACAGAATAACAAATAGGTGATGAAACAGTAATTACACTTTGATAAACATTATAAGTGGATTGAAATATGTTTAAAAATAAATCACAATATAATAAATGATTCATTAAACTTCATACTCATAGTGAACCTGATTAGCGTCCAAACTGCAGGATGGAATGTAAAACTGTGTTTTGAATGACTTGAAGAAAGATGGACTCCAGAAGATGTTTTCCTTAAGACGGATAAGCAGCTTTTCCGGTATGTGATATATATATAATGATACGCTAGTTGGGCAGTTAGCTTATCTCTTAAATGTAGCCCTGGGTACTACAAACTAGAATCTATATGGTATAGGGTATAACGCCCTCTAGTATCTATAGAGGTCAGGGGTCAATCAGTTTGCTCCTGCCAGTCTGATAGTGTATTTTAGGAATTTGCATGGCATAGGTTTTGTGTGGCTTGTATAGAAAATATGTACGCTAGTTGGGCCGTTAGCTTATCTCTTAAATGTAGCCCTGGGTAGTACAAACTAGAATATATATGGTATAGGGTGTAAAACCCTCTAGTATAGAGGTCAGGGGTCAATCAGTTTGCCTCTGCCAGTCTGATAGTGTATTTTAGGAGATTTGCATGGCATAGGTTTTGTGTGGCTTGTATAGAAAATATGTACGCTAGTTGGGCAGTTAGCTTATCTCTTAAATGTAGCCCTGGGTACTACAAACTAGAATCTATATGGTATAGGATGTAACACCTTCTAGTATAGAGGTCAGGGGTCAATCAGTTTGCCTCTGCCAGTCTGATAGTGTATAAGGAGATTTAAGTTTATTCAAATCAAGCCCCTAGTGTAAAATATAGCCCTGCCATAGGGGCTTATCTTTTATGTAGTGATATATAGGGAACATTTATAGGTTCTTCTTCTCAATTATTTTTGCACCACATGGGACAAAATTCAGCACAGATAATCCCTATGGCAGAGAGATGAAATTATCTCAAATGAAGTCCTAGTGGTCACAAATGACATTTATATTTAGGTTTTATGAATATATATGAGATTTAACGACCGACTCAAAAACTAGCTACTTTCACCCTTCACACGGGGCTCTTCAGGTTTGTTTTTTCTATATTCACTTACTTCACATGGATATTTAATCCTTTTTGTCTCACCTGGTCCGAAGGACCATGGTGAGCTTATGCCATACCACAGCGACAGTCCGTCCTTCGTCTGTCTGTCCGTTAACTTTTCCTTTTAAACGCTACTAGTCCTGAACTGCCAAGTAGATTTTGACTAAATTTCGTCTTGAGCATCCTTAGGCTAAGGGGACTCAGTTTTGTATAAACGGTGGGTGTAGCCCCCCTGGGGGCAGAGGGGCAACTTCAACGGCCATAATCCACCCTTGCATGAGCGGATCTGGCTGGTTTGCAACGGGAACCAAGCTCTCATCAATATTTAACTACCATCTAAGTTTGGTGAAG